TACTGGTGCACGTGTGACAAAACTTACATCCTTACTGGTGCACGTGTGACAAAACTTACATTCTTGCTAGTGCATGTGTAGCAAACTTACATCGTTACTAGTGCACGTGTGACAAAACTTACATCCTTGCTAGTGCACGTGTGGCAAAATCTACATCCTTGCTAGTGCACGTGTGACAAAACTTACATCCTTACTAGTGTGTAAGTTTTGTCACACGCACTAGTAAGCATGTAAGTTTTGTCACACGTGCACTAGTAAGGATGTAAGTTTTGTCACACGTGGTTCCTTATAAAAGAAGAAAAAAGACAACGTAAAACATTTTAATCTTAATTTTTTTAATGTATGATTAAAAATCAATAGCTTTCAATTTTCACTCTCCATCCCCAAATATGTATTTACAGCAGGGCTATCCAACAGTGAGAGTCCAGATTATAACTTAGCAGACTACTTATATATTCTATAGTTCTATTTGAATTAAGGAACATATATAAGTCCATCAACCCAGGGGTGTAACATCTTTTTGAGAAAATAATATAGAAATATCACTAAAATTTTAAATAAGTAATGACATTTTAGAATGGCTCCAAGTTTTTTGTTTCTTGACTAATTTCATATCTAATTACAGTTTTGGGCTCAGGAGGTCCAACCCTTTCCAAGGACTTGTAGATTAATTTACTCTAATTCTGCCTAAAAGAATTTCAATTTCAGGGTGGGCTGGTAGAGATCCTGATGAGTAATAAAATTGAACCTGGTGTATGAGTGCCTCATGTTTGGTATTGCTTGTGCACAAAAATATAGCTAATAAAAAGGTTTTGTAGAATAATTTACTCTAAAAGTGACATGGCTATTGAGGATTCCCTCTAGTTTTATTTACAGACATAAATTTCAACTAAAGGATTCTTTTGATGCTTGGGTGCTAGATGACACCTGGCCAGCTTAAAAACTAAAAACAAATGTCCAATCATTATGTATTATGAATCGATGTGGGTTGTGACCTTTTCTTTAACTCTATTGCTCCGGGTATCCTTTACTCTGCATGACACAAGGTTTTAGTGTATTACATTCAAACTTTTATTAAACTACTTTTTGTTTATGTTATACCAATTAGTATAGCATAAGTTCTTAGTTAATAATCCATGTTTTAATAGTATATAAGTTTTAAGTTCTATAAGGGAATATAAAAAATATCCTGAATTTCCACTAACGTGACCCACATAACACATTTTGTCTTAGCATGTCATCATCCCTATTTTATCCATCACCCTTGAAAATTTATGAAATTAAATGTAAATTACTCTCTATAAAATCATCATTGCTCAGACAAACCATAATTTTTATAGTCTTCAATTTTGTTTGGTTACAGAGCTATCGAATAGAAAATTAGACCCATCCTGCCACACCTACCTGTCGCATCCTCTCTTTCAGAATTCGTTGATAGTTCTCTCTTACGTTTCATTATATATTACCTATAACCAATAGAAAGTCAAGGTTTTCATCTATCAAATGACGTATTGTATAATGTTGTATTCTGAACAGGATATCATCAGTTTCACTCACAGTACAAGATTCATTTCCATGTGAAAGTTAACGACTAGCTTGGATGAACTTGTAACGATTCTTGTTGCACAGTTAGAAAGCCAGGAACATTTTGAGAGTTAAGGGAATTTGTCTACTTTATGCATGTTATTAGTCTATATTCTTTGCACACGCACCATTCAAAACAAATACTCATTATATTCATGGACAAATCTTTATTTAATTAAAAATACTTCACTAAAAAACATTTTTTTGTACGTGAAAGACTTATAATGTTAACTGAAAGACTGACACATTTTGTTAAAAGTTATTGAGAGTTATAAGTATTAAATCTATAAAGAGTTAAAACAAGTACACAAAGGTCACATGGTTGGTCAGATTCACTGAGTCTGTATTGAAAGTGTTAAGCTTTAGGGCACTAGTTAATTCTTGAAGAAACAAAATATGCCCTTACAACAAATAATCCATGCAGTTACTGGAGAGGTGAGGTTATAGAAAACTGCTATTTCTTAAATTTCATTTAAATCTATTTTCTCATATTGCATTGTAGCTAATTTCACCTTACTAAATGTTTTTCTATTTTTGTCAGTTGGTTTGTTTATATTTGGTAATACACATTTCGTTTTGTTTTTTGTGTACTCAAATTGTTGTTACTAAAATCATTATGGTTGTCTTGTAGTACATTGTAATGGTATGACATAGTACGGTATATTAGAACTTCAGTTAGATTTAGTACAGTGTGTATGTTTATGTATAAATAGTTTTAACAATGCAGTATAAAATCAAATGATTTTATTAACCTTAAATAGCATATTTTTTAATAAGAACAAGATTTTGCAATATGGATAAGCCTGGCATGTGTCTTGTATTTTATTTCTGCCAAGGCTGCTGAGATAGAGGGAAAATATTTTCCCCACTTTACTTTGATCACCATTCTGGAATATAGCAGCTACTACCATAAAAAATGTACCAAACTATTTGATTAACAAAAACAGCAAAAGTTTTATATATAAAGAGATTTTATTTGATAATAGTCAAGTTTTGTTTTAGAATTGAACATGAAAAACTAAAAATTATAACTTGAAACTACAAGTTATACTAAATAAATATAATAAATTATGTATAATAAATCATAATAAATTATGTATAATAAATTATAATAAATCATAATAAATTATAATAAATCATAATAAATTATAATAAATCATAATAAATTATGTATAATAAATTATAATAAATCATAATAAATTATAATAAATCATAATAAATTATGTATAATAAATTATAATAAATCATAATAAATTATAATAAATCATAATAAATTATGTATAATAAATTATAATAAATCATAATAAATTATAATAAATCATAATAAATTATGTATAATAAATTATAATAAATCATAATAAATTATAATAAATCATAATAAATTATGTATAATAAATTAGTATTTATATCACACAGGATTGTTCAAGAATTCCCTATGAGCAACTGCTTAAAGAAGATGAGTTTATTATGTCTTCTCAAAAAAAGTTGAATAATCAGAAGAAAGACAACAAAGATGTTTGTAAAACACCAAAAAAACACCAGAAGAGTGAAAAAAAGCATGTGTCTGTGTTAGGACAAAATGACTGTAAAAAAATTAGCAAAGATGAATCAACTGGACAAGTTAAAAAAAAGTCAAATAATATGAAAGATGTTTCAAAAAATATAAAAAAAAAACAGAAAAGTACAAATAAGTGTACATTTATGTTAGAACAGAATGACTGTAAAAATATTAGCAAATATGATACAGCTCAAAGCAAAGAAGATCCCCTTGGGTCTGTTGTTGAATCTGGTTCCTCGGTAACAACATCCCAAACAAATTTAGTCGAGCACGAACAAGGCAATACTTCAGAAGGGCAAACCCGTAGTAGGCGCTCGACTAGTATGGCTGCCAGGGATTTTATCAAGTCTGTTTGTCAAAAACTCTACCATGCAAAAAGTGGTCAGAAGTCTGGTGAAGAAGGTAAGAATAAGGTTGTCCAGAAAAAGATTCTAGAGAAAAAGTCACCAGAGCTAGAAAATGATAGTGATAGCGATTCAACTATTTTTATTCCAAAGTTGTTCCCAAAGAATGCAGATTCTGGATATTATTCCAATAGGAAATATTTTTCATTTCTTCTGAATTCCCAGAGGTCCTACTTTTTATCCCGTAATGGCAAGTATCGGGGGAAAGACCACTGTCAAGACAAAGACAGGCTTAGTCGTCTTAAAAGCCATGTTTCAGATTTTTACGAAATAGTGAAACGCGAACCATTTCATGGTCAGTCGGGATGTAAGGTAAGACCTAAAGATTCAGTTTGTGATAGAGAAACTGAAAAATCTGAAGAAGTATTTAACAACAGACAAGATTCTAAACAAAAAGTTCAAGATGTCAGTGATTCAGAAATAGAATTAAAATTCTCAAAAAAAACATTAACTCCTACCATTCTGGGACATTTTGAGTCAAGAGGTCGGGGCCAAATGAAAGGTAAGGGTATCGGACAGAATGACAGAAATAAAAGAACTTCTAAGACAGAGAAAAACAAAAAAGTTGATTTATTGAAAAAGGATAAAAAAAATGGGTCAAAATCATTTTATTCACTCAAAAAGACTCGAGGAGGTAAACTTTCATGTAATTCAAAAAAACGTGTAGGTTTTGTTGAGCCGAAGGTACTGTCTGGTGATAACCTTTATCAGTTGAAAACTATTGTAAAAAAAACTGGTAGATTATCACGAAAGACAACCAATGAAGACTCTAACGCATTAGTTAGTCAGCTTGGTTTACCACCACACTTAGAGGGACCTCCACCTGCAGAAGAATTTCCTGGGAATGAAACGCCCCTAATTCAACCCAAAAATCGGGTTTTTGTGTCTTTGCCAGATAAAACTGTGGTGGAAGTGAGTTGTTCTGATCGACAAAAAGTTCTGATGAAAGCCGAGTCCAAGTTGAAAGCCCTTGCAAGTTCAAATCTGAATCAGGTATGGAATACAAGTTTATTTAATTACTTTTGTAGAAAAAATGAAAATTATGCATTAATTACATGTCAAAAAATTAAATTATACAATCTTTACCGAAGACAAAAACTGCTTAAAATAGTAATATATAAAAGGGTGTTTGTCATAACACCACCTCCAACAGGAATTTAACACTTATTTTAGGTAAAATAACAACAATTAGAGTTTAGAAGTTTGACAAGCCATTAATCATCTTGTTTGGCCAGGCAGACACCATTGGTGAAGCAATAAGAAACAAACTAAGTCATAACTAAATCAAAAAATATAAGTTTGGTAACACAGACTTAGACGTGACTTTTATAACTCTAGAAATTGAGACTAATTGTTTGTCAAACAATGCTGTGGCCCCATAACTGTGTTAAACTAATTGGTCAGTTACAAATATACCCGTGTAGTTACTAGCGAACTCTAGCTTATGTACTTCAAGCTCAGTGTCATAAAACTTCTGAAAAATATTCATTTTATTAAACATTAAGGTTATTGGTTTTCATGGCCATAGCTTGGTAGGAGTAGAAAAATTTATATTGTTTTAATTTTGGATGCAATTCCAGTATATAAAAACATAAAAATGAATTTTAAAAATCAACAGTATATTTGGCTAAAAATCATGAAAGTATTAGCATTCTGGATCCTTCATCTTCTCTTGAAGTTAGTTATGAGCCTTACACTGTTTTAGAGTATTAGTGTGTGTGTATATTCCCTCTTTCCTTATATTTAACAGTGAACTGTTATTTTAATGGAACAAAAATTTAATAATTTTTGATAAACCTATATCAAATTCTGATCAAGTGTAAATTTACTCAAGCAATATCGGAATTAATAAGGATGTAAGTTTTATCAGACGTGTGCTAGTAAGGATGTAAGTTTTGTCACACGTGCACTAGTAAGGATGCAAGTTTTATCACACTTGCACTAGTAAGGATGTAAGTTTTGTCACACATGCACCAGTAAGGATGTAAGTTTGCCACACATGCACTAGCAAGGATGTAAGTTTTGTCACATGCACTAGCAAGGATGTAAGTTTTGTCACATGCACTAGCAAGGATGTAAGTTTTGCCACACACGTGCACTAGCAAGGATGTAAGTTTTGTCACACGTGCACCAGTAAGGATGTAAGTTTTGTCACACGTTCACCAGTAAGGATGTAAGTTTTGTCACACCTTCACTAGTAAGGATGTACGTTTTGTCACACGTGCACTAGCAAGGATGTAAGTTTTGTCACACGTTCACTAGTAAGGATGTAAGTTTTGTCGCACGTTCACTAGTAAGGGGATAAAAAGATTTATTATAATTCATCTTCAAACACATGTTCTGTTAGGGACTTGCATAAAGTTACCTTTTTTTTTCTGGTATTATTTCAAACATTGCTATTTATTTCTTTAATTTTGATAAATTCTGCTATTCTCTTTCACACTAGAATTTTTTATTGCTGTTAATTGTATATAATTTAAAAGTATTGATTATAGATACTAGCTGCTTACTTAAGTGTGAATCATATGTGATATTTGAGTATTGATCTTTGTTACAGATGTAACTTGGTGTTAAGCTTGTATTATTTGTAAGTATTGATCTTAGTTACAGACGTAACTTGGTGTTAAGCTTGTATTATTTGTAAGTATTGATCTAAGTTACAGACGTAACTTGGTGTTAAGCTTGTATTATTTGTAATTATTGATCTTAGTTACAGACGTAACTTGGTGTTAAGCTTGTATTATTTGTAAGTATTGATCTTAGTTACAGAACAACTTGGTTTTAAGCTTGTATTATTTGTAATTATTGATCTCTGTTACTGGGTGTTAACATGATCTTGTTAGATTTTTTTTACTGATCTCTGCTTTATTATAGAATGTACATATGAGTAAGAGATACTACAATCTAAAGTCGTGTATAATTGATATTCATTATTACAAACAATGCCAACTATTTAACAAACAAAAGTTTAGTTATGAAATACTAAAGTTTACAGGGTGTTAAAACTAGAAATCATTGTAGAACAACTGTTCTGTAACATTAAAGAATTGTCTAGTTCTGTTTGTTTATTTTAGCTCCGAAAACTGCTGGGAGCCAGAAGAAAACATCTTGAGTAAGAGTCTGATAAAAGAGTTTGAACAAAATTTAATGCTTAAATCTCCCGCAAAGAAGCGAAAAAGTCAGACCTTTGAGACACCGGATGTGGAATTGAAGAAAATCAAGTTGGAACTTGTGGTATACATTTTTTTTAAGGGTCTTGATGTTTACTTCTAAGATTTAAATTTATTTGGTACATCATGAACTATTCCTGACCTTACCTTGGATAATTTTCCCATTTGATTAGATATTCAATCTTGTCTTTGTTTTTTCGCTTGTTGAGGATCTTTTCCACTGTGAATACTTTCTTGGTCTATTTCAATAAAATACACAATTTGTAATTTGAAAATCAGAGTGGAAATTAACATTATTTACTGCAAGCAATGGCATTTATACTAAAATTAACAACTACGAATAATGCTACTTTATAACTACAGATCACTGCTTAGTAAGTTCTATGTAATATAGATAGATTTAATACAGTGTATTTATAAGTATGTACTTGTTTAGACTATGTGGTTCCCACATAAAAACATG